ATATATATATATATATATATATATATATATATATATAATTACAATTTCATGTAGAAGTTTTTGTATTAAATTTGGATTTTGTTCGCTCTTCATATCTTATTCAGTCGGTAAATTTGTTCATGTTTGTTCAATCGTCATGGACTAGAGAACAATGGCCATACCTTTTCTATTTCTGAACTCTAATTAAAAAAGAAAAACTATTAATTATATTAGTAGGTTTTTCCGTAAATCAATATAACTAATTTAAATTGTAATTAATTTAAGATAATATTTATTAAGTATTCAAATATATTTATTGATTATTAAATTTACAGAAAGACATAAATTAAAAATTAAATTAATAATCTCGATTAAATTTTAAACTCTCAACTAAAAATTAAATAAATAATCTCGATTAATTAATTGATTAAAAAATTTACAAATAAATTTAAATAAGTTATTTTATTATTTAATGCTGAATATTAAATATATATCGTTCATTAAGTAAAGATATTTTTTAAAAACTGAAAAAGTTAAACAGCATTAAATAACACTTTACAATTACGTAAATTCACATGTAACTGAATTATAAATAAACAAATACAGCTACTAACCAGATATAATTAGCAGACACTTTTTCTTGTTATCACGTATTTTTCTTAGATTTTCGATGGTGTTTAACACGCTGCAGTGAATGTCTAATGCCATTCACGGCGGGATACAGAGCGATATTCACCTCATCGGGTAATTTTGTTGCAACCGAGCGAATAGTTACATGTTTAATATTCATTTTATCATTCTCCAGAACCCATTCATCTGGCTCACTGTAAATAAATTAAAGATGCTTTTCTTATTTGTTAATTATATAATTTACTACCTTATAAATTAGTTTTAAGTTCTTGAAAAACTACGAAATGTTTAAATATTATAACAAATTAATAAAATGAATAAAATAATCTAATTATTTTTTAATTAATATAATTTTTATTATAATACAGATTTTAATTAAAATGTAAATCAAAATGTATATATACAGTTTATATCTATATCTAAGAATGTTAACTATGCATCGATAAAAAATTAATTTCTATGAGGTTTGTGTATATACTATTTATTCAGTTTCAATATAACAGAAAAATTAAATTAATTCTATTCAAATAAATTCTATTCAAAAGAATATTTTTTTCTAATATTATTGAAATATTTCATTAATTTTATCCTTATTTTATGTTTGTTTCAATTTTTAATTTAATTTTTCTTTATAATAATTTTTATCCTTAAGAACTTACATGTCTTGTGGGTACCATCGTAGTAGAACTCTAATTTTACCATCCATCTCTACTCTTTTTGCTAATACCTATGAATAAAATATTTGTTGCATCTTTTTTAAAAGTTATATTCTTAATAAATTAATATTTTAATAATAAATAAAAAAATATTAAATAAAATAATAGAAATAAAAATATTAAATTAAGAATATATATTAAATTAAAAATCAATTCTAATTTAGTTTTTACGTATTGAAATAATATATTTTACAAATTTTTTATATATGTAACATTTATTTTAATTTAATATACAATTATAAATAGTATTGGAAGATAAGCATTTAAATTGAAATAATTCAGTTCTATTACAACCTAATTATCTTTTTAGAATAAAATTGAAATTATTAAGAAAAATTAAAATAGCCAATTAATAAATTTTCATTATTAATTATAAATGTCTAATGTTATACATACTTGACTAGTAAGAGTCATCGAGTCTCCTGGAGTTTCAGCCAGTTTACCTCGTGTTCTCATCTTTGCTAACTCTAGTAATCTATGCTGAAGACCTTCCATGACACCAGAATCGAAATAATCGAAAATTCGAGCTGTAATTGAATAAAAACTAATTAATTTTTTGTTTTGTTTATTGAAAATTAATGCAATTGTATAAAGTGCGAGAATAAATTTTAAAAAATTAAATTTCTAAATTGTTATTAATTTAATACCTATACAAAATTTGCTTTACTGTTATTAATATTTTGAAAAAGAACTAATAAATATTAATTACAAGTCAATAACTTGTTGCAATAAATCTATCAAACCTACCAGACCATGGTTGTCTTCTGTATCTTAATTTTTTTCCATTTCTCCTGACAAGTTTTCCACTAACATCAGTACTCTTTCTTGATGTGGTACTGCTTGTTTCTGATTGATTAAAATGACCATTTACATGTCTCTCAAGTGCGGTCTGTAATAAAAAAAGATAATAATTTTGTAAAGAATAAATCTTTTTTCGAATTTATAAAAAAAAAAAAAAATTTATTCAAACATTCAATATTTTACTTGAAACTTTACAAACTCAATTTTAATATTTTAATTTATAATTAAAATAATTGATACAACTTAATGCAATTATATATTAACAAAATATTCTATATCAAAATATCAATATAATATAATATAATATTAAAATAATTTTGAAAGTAACAAAATTTAAAAAATATTAAAATTGCAAATAATCTCATTGTAATAAGTAATCAATAAACAAAAAAATGTTTGTATTTTTGAACTACAATATATTGCATGATTTTTATAAACATGAAGATAAAGATAATTAAATATATTTAACGATACTTTTTCTTGAGTTCAATAAATTAACAGATGATATATTTAAATCACATTTTATTTTAAAATATTAAAATACATATATCTTTTAAATTAACAAATTGTTATTGAAATTTTTTCTTTCGTTCTTCCGTTTCTTTGGGTCATTATTTCTTGTTATTTCGTGAGAGTATTTATGGACAATTACAAATGAAAGTTGAAAACAGTTTTAAGCATCTTGAATTTTTAGAATCTTTGAAAACCAAAAGAAAATGAATTTTTTGAGAGTACAAACTTTCTATTATGAGAAGAAATACTCACATAATTTTTTATATAAAATATTTTATCTAATTTCTATTATTTTATTTTATTTTATATCACATTTTTTATATAAAATATGATAATTTGTTAAAAAATACCAAACGTCAATAAAACTTTTACAATACATAAATTTATAAATTTGAAAGAATAATTAACAAAATGTAAAATATAACATGAATGGTCTTAAATTTATAATTGACTTAAATTTTATATTTTCTAAAATCAAGAAAGAAAACAAAAGTATCAAATAGCGTCCCTGCGTTGATCTATTCAAAGTTAAAATTAATTAAAAAATCATAATTTTTGTAAAAAAACATTCTTAATTTTTCAAAAATATATGACAATAAATGCATTAAAATTGCTATTATATTATACAAATATATTATATGTATATAATTTATTAAAAGATATTACTGTTAAAAATTTAATTTAAAAGATGAAAATCAATTTTGTATATAATTGAAAAAATTCAATTATTGTGCATGAGTACAAAAGAAAAATATGAAATTCTTTGCTTAATGATACTGATAATCTAAATAAAATAATTTTCAGTAGAAACCTATCTAAAATATCTGTCTAAAATAAATTTCTTAAATATTACTAATTATCCAAAGTTACAAAAGCAACATATCAATGAAGAAAAATATGCCTTTCTATTTAAAATACACTTTTATACAAAACAATTGAATGTATATTCATATTTCTTATATAAAGGTAATGCGTATTCGCATCTTCATAAAGGCAATTATAAACAATTATAAACGTGGTTCAACTATGGCATCCGATTATTTATAATCTTGTTTATTTCTATTTCTATTTCCAATTAATAACTTTTTAACTAACATTGAAAAGCTTGAAAACTTAAATAATGTGATTTTAAAATATGTAATTTATAAATGAAAAGTTAAATAATCATAATTTCTAAAATATTAATTTCTGTAAAATTTATATAAAAACATATTTTAAATTTTAAATATCGATTTAGTTTCAATTTTAGGAAATAAATCTTTAGAATAGAAAATTTCAAACTGAATTCTATAAATTTAAATATGTAGAAAACAAACTAGTTTGATATGTTCAGAAAAAAAATACGTACCTATTTTTATTTTTCACCTTTACTTTTTAAACTTTAATTTTAGGTAAAATATTAAAAGTGAAAGTTGAATACGAAAATAATTCTTATATAAAGATCGTGGTTAAATACTAACTAGGTTAAACTAAAGTTTGTCATCTTTATACAATATTAACTTTTACGTAAATAATCTATATGACTCGTATGAGTTAATATCTTTTACTTAAGATTCTTTTCGAGTCACATTTAGGTAAAATATGTACCTTTGATAATTTTCTAAATTAATAATTCAAAAACATACCTGCGAGCTAAACCTATTTCCACATCCATCAACGATACATTGGAAGGGCTTATTACCACCGTGCGAAAGTACGTGTCGCTCCAGCCATCTTCTTGAACATGAAGTCCTACCTTGAACCTTACATCCCTGCCACTGACACACAAAGTTATCGCCGCCTGTTTGTGTATTTATGTGCGCTATCTAAAAATACGATAAAAAGTTTAAGCACTTTTGAATTAATGATTGATTATGTCTATTTAAAGAATATTTAATGGCATGATTAAAAATTAGTATCAAACAAAAATCAAATAGATTTCATCTATATTTTAAATGAAATAATTAATTATAAGCTTTCAAATTGCAGATCGATTCATATAACAAATATTTAACCAATGTAAAATAAATCAAAATATTCAAAAATATTAAACAAATGTATTGAAGTATAAACTTTAATATTTAGTAAATAATTTGTGTTTAAGTTTAAACTTGTGTTTCAATATGCGATGATTAAATAAAAATTACACAAAAATGTATCGATTAATTCATACATTAATAAAATTTGCAAACATAATAAATAATAATAACCGAATATAATTTTAATTGGTACAAAATATAAAATTATAAAATTCAAAACCAGAAACAAAACAATGCAGATGATTAAAGTAATTAAAAAATATATAAAATATTTATGCAATAAATTTCAAAATATTCATATGATTTTAAATGATATTAATATATATTTATAATGAAAAGATGATTTGACATACAATTTTAATTTTATAATTTTAAAAACAGAAAATTAACATAAATTATGAAAATACTATAATTTTGAGCTAAATTCGTTAAACTATGTATTAAAATACTCTTCATATATTTTATAGTACTTTTAAATTAATGTACATAATGCACAATACCTTTCAAAATTACACTCATGCATACATACTTGCAACACTCATACATACTTGCAAATGTTCGAGCAAGGCACTGCTAGTATCATAGTTGATCTCGCACTTGTCCCATCGACAAAATCCGCTATCGGTTGTTGGTCCTCTGTTCTTACTGGGCATCTTTGCTGGGAACCTGATAGTCGCTGGTGCTGAAAGTATAGGTAAAAGCGAAGCAAGGGACGAATTTTTAGATTCGGCACTGTCTCTAGAGGATTCTTCTTCGTCATCGTCATCTTTAATAGAACTGCTCGCCGTTGAGGTTAGACTTAGTCTTAATAGTAAATCCGTATCTTTGTTACAGTTGCTGTTCGTCAGATTATTATTCTTGTTCATATGCATTGGCTGTGGTAAAAGCGAATTGTCCTATAAATCAAAGCGACATACTATTAATCGTTCTTCAATAAATGACTTAATTATTTTCTATGTACGACGTACATACTACTAATCTCTGAATTTATCTATAATTACATTTACTATATGTAAATTTTATATATCTTTTTATATATAATTTTATAAATATTTTATTTTGATTTGAAAAATCAAATTACAAAAAATTAATAAAAAGTATGTTTCTATCTATGAATTTTTATTCCCGAATGTAAATTATTTATCATACTTCTAAATAAGAATTTATCTACATTAGTAATGACTTATTAATTAAAATATTTCTTAAATTTATTTATTTGATTGTTTATTAAATAATCTTTACATCTGATAATTTATGTATTATATGAGAGTAATAATGTTGATGTATATCTCATATTTTCAAAATTATATTTTATATATTAATATATATATATAACTCTTTAATAGCTTAAAATTTATAAAAATTAATTGTGTTTTTGTAAATATTTATTAATAACATCTTAATAAATCATATAAATATCAAATAAATATTTTTGAATATACATTAATTTAATACACATTCTCTTACGTTCTTAATTTGAAAAGGTTTTATAGTTTCCATTGCTTTTAATTAATATATATTTAATTAATTAATATATATGTGAAAGTAAAAATAGAAAAAATATATTAATATATAATTCTGTGGAAAAGGTAGCCACTTCATCTAGTAGTTATAAACGCAGTTGGTTAATTTTTGAACCCAGTAATTGGTAACGAATTATTTTCGATTATTGAACTAATAAAGTAAAAATTATAATGTATTAGGTATAATAAATTATTTTTTGCATTTTATCTACCTCATGCTGGTTAGTTTGTCCGGTAAGTAAATCAGTGGACGTTTTCAAGATAAGATGTGGAGATTCGCTAGGACTAGCCTCAGACGTAAGCCTCAGGTTGGAGATCTTGCACGAGGGCAATGTTGAAAGAACATCTCTAGAGATAGGCAATGACGGTAAACCCCTACAATCAGATGATGTGGTTGTAGTAGTGACAGCGATTGTGACAATGCTCGTCGCCGTTGAGGTGGATGTCATGAATTTTTTCTCATGGTGATGCTTGAGTCGCGATTGTAGACCGTTTATTCCTTGGGCTAGGGTACGTACTTCCCAATCAGTAGTACGGCTGCCACTGTTTGCTCCAAGATGGTATTTCGCCAGACCATTTTTGTTGTTACGCTGTACAGTCGCCGGTCGACGAAACTCGGGCGAGTTCTTGGCTACAAGGATCGACATTTCGCTTGCTTTTTTAAGCTATAGAACATAATTTATATGTGATTAATCTTTGACGGTTATGTACTAAATTAACTATGATAAACTTATATGTTGTCCGGTGAATTATAATGTTCTCAGATTTATGAAATCTTTTACTATGGATACTTCTAGTTTAATATTTGAAACTTACTATATAAATTGTTTATCAAATGAATGAAATTTTGAAAAATAATCAATCCATATTTTTTTAGGTTTTTTTCTTATATATCCTAAATTATAAAGTAGTAATATCGTTATATTATCAATATTCAATACTAAAATTAAAATTTTTATTGTATAGTTAAATTACTGCAATATATTCATAATTTTTATAATAAAAATAAACATATTGATTAACTAATGAACTAAGTCATATACATGATTAAACTGCTACTTTCAAACGTATCTTTCACGTATAAAAGTAAATAATGATAATTAATTCGTTTGCATCTGCATCAATATAATACTAATGACTCAATTTTATTTTTATTAATGATAATAGATAAATTATAATGTGAGAAAGAGAAAATACTGTGTCTAACATAAGTATAATTTATTAATAAAGAATTAACTTATATACAATGGATCTAGCGTTTCTCATATTTTCCAATATAAACTTTAAAAAGTTGTTTTTATCCTTACATTAATGAATTTGTTTTTATTGCATATATAATATACGTTTGTTTATATAATACAATAATTAAATATGTTAAAACAATATAATATATGAATGCAAGTCAAATTTTTATTTTATAAGCACTTAATTTTTAAATTAGCAAACTTATTTCATTATCAATACATAATATTTTGCACATATTGCTTTTAGTTTTTATCGTATAATTGAATAATAATTATATTAATTTTAAAGAATATATTTTGATCTTATAATAATTATTATAGATAGTTTAAATTAATAAGAATTGTATATAATCACACGAAATGAATTTTAAAGAGTATAAAATTTACTTAGTACAGTTTTAAAATTTTTACAATTCAATTAAAGGAAATAAGGACAACTCAAATTTGCAGTTTCTTTTCAATTTTGAAACTTATTTGCAAGAAAGCTGAAACTTACTTTAATTTGCTGGGGTTTAATCTGCGTTTTAAAATATTCGGTGATCTTGCCCTGAGAATCCTGGTGAAGATTGTGGTGATGCTGTTTAATAGGCGCACTAGATTTGGCGTGCCTAGGTCCCGGATCGGCTTGTCTAGGTAAACAACCGTGCTCTGGCTCGGCTTTGAATCTCTTATAACTGTTGGAGCAGGCGGTAGCAGCCAGCGGGGGTGTCCAAGGCCACTGGGGTCTCGGCACCGGCAGCAGCGGCAGAGGCGGTTGCTGCGTGAGCGCCAGTTTACAGCCGGACTGCTGCTCTTGGTGTTGTCGCCCCTGCTGTTGCTGCTGTTGCTCCTCAGTGCTACTATTACTCCCGCCGCCTCGCACCCCACTTACACCTTCATCACTACTAGTAGTGCTACAAGGTGATCCGGGCTCGACAATATCACTGCCACTAGTACTGCTACTGCTACTCAGACCACTGCTACTGCTTCCGCCGCAAGAAACAGCAACACCACTGTGAATACAACATTAATAACTTAGATACGAATGTCATGAGATTATGTTAACGAATGATCAAAAACAAACATTTACGTTCATTTGATTTCATGGAAGTGATTTGATTTCTTTTATACAGAAAGAAAAAATGGTAATGAGTTAAAAGAATGTCGGCTTCTTTTAATTTTTAATTTAACCCTTTAAATATATAAAACATTCAAAGAATATTGTTGTTTTATAAACATAAAAAATATTATAAATGCATAACATAAATTAATTTCTTGAAAATAAACGAAAAATTTATCTGAATTCATAAAATTATATTGTTACATTTATCAATTTTTCAATTTATAATTTAATATGAAATATTGATAATTATTACCAATTGTAAAAATGATATAATTTATTTTAATTATACAATATAGAAATAACGGGTTTTATAAATGAATTATTTTTTCACATAAATATGACATTTATAACTTAATAAATGATTAATATGGCTTTTCAGTAATTTAAAAATAAAAAATTACACACTTATAACATATTAAAAGTCTTATCAAAATAAAAAAAAAGAACTACAAAATCATAATTTAAACAATAAAATCGAGAATTTCGAATCAACAATTTCAATTTAAAATTGTTTTTAGTTTTATATCAAAAGTCTCAGTAAGTAACAATATTAAAATTGAAAATCTTAGTATAAAACATAATTAGTTTTACAATTATGTTTTCGCGGTTAGAAAAATTACTCGCTCAATATGTAGGTCTATACAAGCCGTTAACATTATATTTAGTTCAACAAAAAACAGATCAGGGAGGAAAAAGTAGAAAATATTTTATTTAAAAACCTTAATATTATAAAAGAATGTCAATTAAACTTGCAAAAATATCTTATCATATATACAATGATTTATAAGGCCTCTACTATGAATTTATTCTTTGGGATACATTTAACAACAAGTTGTATATCTATAAAGTAATTGTTAAGTAGAGAGAAAAGTAAAAAAATTTATTAACGAACTTCAAATATTTCATTAGATTAACAATCTTTTCTGACATGTCGATAGTTGCGAAGGTGGGGAGGTAAAAACTATTACGAAGCACCCATTCACTGCCCGACACTTGCAGCAACATCGACCCGTCGCCACGAAGCATTTCGATCCCCCGTTATATTATGGAAGTAGCATCGGTGGCTCCGCTCCGCGCCCATGCACTGTGACTCGCACGATTCATTAAACATCTCTACAATCTTTCTTTACGTTCATACATTCGCAAGGACATAGTGAGTCTTTCTTTCGTGCTATTTTTGCAATTAGAAAACCGCACATTTATTCACTTGATTTTTTACTTTTATTATTTTCTTATTAGATAACTGAAACAAAAATATTTCTATCTCTCTTTATGAAACAGATATTTTTTAATAGCTTAGCAAATTTTTCACTGTATAATTATCCAAATATCGGCATTACATTAGAATTAAATTAACGCATTACCAATAAAACCAATCTTGAATACTTATCCAATATGTAATTAAATATGCTTTACAACAGACTACTTTCAATAATTAAATTATGTAACTTAATGTTCTTGGACCTCGTAATACACCATTGAATTCTCTTCAAATATATTCAAGTTTAACAAGGTTTCACATTTATAAAAGTTATTGTCATCATTTTTATTTTATAGTATTATTAAAATATTGTAAGATCTACTATATCTTTTAACACATCAAAGATTTGCCATTATATTTGGACAAGTTTTTTGTATTAAATAAAAAATTACTGAAAAGTGAAAATTTTAAGTCATCAAAGTTCACAACAAATAAACGATTATTTCTTTTATGATATTTATAACGTATATCCATTATACTTTATATACTTTCATGCGTGAAAAATAATTTTTAATTTCAGTTAACTTTTATAAGTTGAAATTGCATTTTTTCCAAATAAAAACTTTCCTAAGAGGTAACTAAAGGAGTTTCCTTTGCTTGTAAAATTGCATTTTTTTATTACTCCTTTTATTTTTCCCCTAATTAAAATAGTAATAATATTAAAATATAAAGAATACATTAAACTGCAAAAGGTATTCTACATTATTATAAAAAATATCTTAATGTTCAATAATGCTTTTGCAATTTTTATGTACAAACTATATATTACGAAAGGTGTCGTGGTACTTTGATTAACTATTATTAATAATTATTTAATTATTCAATGAATCTTTATTTTTATAAACTTATAATAGTTTAAATTAAATAATATAATTTAACTTAAAATAATTTTATTACAAATACATTAAATAATTATAGAACAATTTATGCATTCAGATTTTATATTTATAAATACTTGTTTTTTTTTCAAATACAATATTTTTAATTTTTATAAAAAATATTAATCGAATCTTCAATATTTTTCTGATAATTTATAAGCATTTGCCTAATAAAGTTATGAAATTGAAAAACATCTATTAAAACCAAACAAAGAATTGATCAATTTTTTGCGAGATATAAGTATTGGAACACACAAAATATAAAGAACAAAATATAATTTTAATTATTTTTAATTATTATTATAAGTATATAAATAGGTAATTAAAAATACAAAAAAAATAGACAGGAATTGATCTTCATCGATCTCAACGATACAATAAATGAAAAAATGCAAAAAGTAGAGAAATAAAAATAAATAAATAAAAACTAGATTTCCTGAAAAATTCTCGATTATTTTAATGCATTAATTATCAATTATGAAGAAAAAGCAGGATAATTTTAAAAAATGTTTATAACTATTTGTGTATTCAATCGAAATTTTTCTACATGTGAATTCATCAAAACGAAACCTCTGAAAATTCTACAAGATTAACTTTTCTTTTTCACGGTGGATTCATTATTTTTAAATATAAAAAAACAGCAAACACTACATACTTTCAAACCTATTAAAATATTATTAAAAACAAAGCTTTCCTCATGATGTAGTTTATTATATTATTCATTTTGTTCATTTTTTTCCCACTATATTTTCATATAAATTATTATTTTAGAGTGGAAAAAAGAGAATGAAAGATAAGATCTTTAATTAAAGCGAAAAGACTTACGATTATTTTTTCATAAAAAACAAGAATTTTAAGTTCACTTCATAAATTTAACTATTACAGTTAAAATGTTAAAAATATATTAAAAGAAATTACTGTGACAAATAAATTCAAACAGGAACATAATATTATAAACAATATTTGCTAGAAATCATTTGTTAACATTGAGATAATATTAATTAATTAAACATTAAAAATTTTAAGTTTAACTGTTTCATAAAAATCATAAAAGTACGTATAATAAATTACGTATAAAATTACGAATAAAATCAATAATAAATTTTTTTTATTTGAAGTTCCTTTATACATATATTTTCGAGATTGATATGTGCTTGGAATTACAAAAAAAAAA